GCCGTTATATTACAATTACTAAATGTATTAGATATCTTAGGAAAATAAGTAGACAATTTTTTTTAAAACAATACGATATGTTGGCGTGTTTTATGGTTTAATATGAAAGACAATTGATTCTGAATAATGACGTTATAAATATAAAAGTAGGGTTGGTATGTAATAAATTAATCTTTCGTTATTGTCTGTTTAAAAACCACACTATGAGCATGTCACAACATACTTTGAGGTGTAAATTCGTATCGTACAAGCTACGAGCTAGGTTCAAGTGCGAGTTCATTCCATAGAACGCCATTTTGAATCCCACCAACCTTCTTTAGAAAGGGTACCTTAGGTATTAACTAAGGCATCAAAACACATTGCTCAAATAATGTTTCTGTTCGTAATCTACCCACATTTTCCCCTGGTCCCCATATAAAGATAGTACTCCGCTTGTTGACTTCATGAAAATCTCTTAAAATTCGGGATATTTTAAAGAACTGAAAAGTGAATTAGCAAAATTTAATCAAGTAGGAATATGACAGATATCGTTCCACATCTTCCCCCAGTACTAAAACGAGGAATATACTAATATCTCTTTGCCAAATTTACTTTAAAATATATATTAGGTCTAGTAAAAAGTTCGTTCGGTTTTTATCCAAGAGATGGCGTTATTGTCCATAGTACTAGTGTTACGTGTCGCATCTTGTCATACTGTATGGCGCTGAAAACATGTTTATTCGCGCTAAAAGTTTGTCTTTGACAGTTTTTCGATTGATTTACTCAGTTCGTTGTGAGCGCTCGTCAAAGATGGACACCAACAAAGAGAAAATTCGCTATATTTTACAATTTTTCTTCGATCAAAGCGAAAAAGCAGCCAAAGTGGCTGAAAAAATTAATTTAGCTTATGCGCCCGATAGGCCTGTCCTCGAAAATTGCAATAAAATCATGGAAATAGTGGAAACAGACCGTCACGTGAGCTCTTATTTAATTGCTGAGGAACTAAAGATAAGCCAGAAAACCGTTTGGAACCATTTGCATAACCTTTGATTCAAAAAGAAGCTCGATGTTTGGGTGCCACACGAACTAACGCAAAAAACATGATGGACCGAATTTCTATCTGCGAATCGCTGCTGAATCGCAACAAAATCGACCCGTTTCTGAAGCGGATTGTGACTAGCGATGAAAAATGGGTCACTTACGACAACATCGAGCGCAAACGGTCGTGGTCAAAGCCAGGGGAAGCGGCCCAGACGGTGGCCTAGACCTGATTGACAGCCAGGAAGGTTTTGCTGTGTGTTTGGTGGGATGGGCAAGGAATCATCTACTGCGAGCTGCTCCCCTATGGCCAATCGCTCAATTCGGCCCTCTACTGCTAACAACTGGACCGCTTGAAGGCAGCACTCATCCAGAAGAGGCCATCTTTGATCAACAGAGGCCGAATTGTGTTCCATCAGGACAACGCTCCTGGAGCAAACGTTTTTACTTTAAATTATTACTAATTGTTTCCCAAATAGGGAATGTGGTTATGAGGTTAAAGCAGTGGTAAATAGTTTTAATAGAAATAAGATACCACAATCAATGTTTAAGATTGAATTGATGCCAAACTCTTACCAGCTGAAGAAAATCGAAACACATCCGATATAAAATTTTAAAAATCTCCCTCCCCGTAGAATTACCATTGAAGAACCCCATAAAAGAAATGGTCCGGTAAAATGCACTAAGAGTATGGGCACACCATCATATTACACCCTACTGTTTCTTCAATAGTCCATGGAAGTTGTGCAAATTTGCTAAAAGGAAACACTGTTCAAATGCGATTGCCCCAAAAAGAACAAAGCTGTAGTGTTGAAAGTATGATTTTCAATTTTACGCAATGTATGACACAATTTATGTCTACAATGCAAAATATGATTCAAGATCTAATTAAAGCGCAAAAACAAATGCTGTAAACTATTTAATAAAAAAGGTTTAACTATATTTTTGTATATGGACTGCTAACGGTGTTAATTAGCACAAATTGGAGATTAACTGCTGACACATGTAGTGACTTTACATATCTTCAGATCATTCTCCTGTGCTAATAAAACTACGCGAACAACCATGTATCACCAAAAATGGGCTTAACATCCCATAAAACGAACTAGTTAAAATATAAAAAAAATCTGTATCCACATTAATATTGATTACAGAACAAACTCAGAAAGAGTTATAGACCAATGCATAAGCTAATTTAATGAAATAATAACTAAAGCAGATGTCTTAGCAACACTAAAACTAAGAAGTTGCCTGGTCACAGAAGAATCACAAATGTTGGAATTGAAAAACTTGTAACTGAAAAAAATAGTTTAAAAACACCAATAAACGCACTTTTAAAACACTTTAAACTAAAAGGTGAAAAATAATTCCTTATATAAACTGACAAAGATATTGACCGAAAAATACTTGTATTGTGTTGCATTATGTTGAGCCTTTAAAAAATATTTGTTACTATCAATGATGTCTAGTTTTTTTATGAAAACAATACAATTCCAACGCATCAATTCATGTTTAAATTGGTAAATAGAATTACTAACGAAATTGGAAAGGCATTCGGGTACGGAGTGTTTGGTTCAACAATATTCCTTGATGTAGCTCAGGCATTCGATAAGATGGGGCATAAAGGTCTTTTATATAGAATTTAAAAAATTATGTAACTTAAAACTTGGCATTCACTTGGACAGAAGGCTCAAATAGAAAAAAAATTTAATATAAAATAAATAAGAGCAGCAAATTTAAACTGACTTTTAAATAAAAATTATAAACTTGGCCTTGACAACGAAGTTTTGTTATACAACGCGGTAATAAAGCTGATTTGGATTATGATATTCAACTATGGGTTACGAGCTGTGCAACTAACTAATACAAAAGTTCCAGTCAAAAATCCTTAGAGCTATAACGGGCTCATCATGGTACAATAATAACATTCACAAAGATCTTATTATTCCTATGGTAAAGAAATAAGTATAGGCAGCAGAAATAACTATGAACTTAAACTTCGTAAACATCCAAATCCATTAGTTGATGCCTTGCTACAGTCCTGTAATCAAACCCGCTTAATCCGGAAAGATCTACCAGCCTTCTAAAGAGCAACGTATCACCAAACAGGCTCAACTAGAACCTTGAGCTTGTCTATTTTTAATTTGATTTAAGATTTTATTACTTATTGTTTGGCTTTAAACAAACAGATTTCATAAATAAAGATATATCCACAAAAGTTCACATTTGCATCACTAACACGAATTATTTTTCAATCATTACTATTAACCCATTCACTACAAATTACTCGTATGTAGTTACATATGTACATACAAATGTGAATATGTATTTACACATATAAAAGCGCTCAAACACATTTTATCTATTCATTATCACTTCATAAGTAATATTTTGACAATTCTTAACCCATCCCTTCGATTTCTAAAACGAAGACACTATTGTTTCCATCCCATTGTATCACTGCTACTTATAAACAGTGCTTTTGTTTGCTTATTTAAGCATTTCCTCTCGAGATGGTGTCATGCCTCACCCCTTGCAACGATAATTTGGGTTCGGAACGTAGAAAAAACGAATAAACAGTTACATATTCGCTCGCTACATAATCCCACAGATGAGTGCGCACATAAGTGGGCGTTTATATTCAATTTGCTACGCCTAAACGCCTATGCTTATGCAATGAAAAGCAGCATTTGGCTCGCAGCAGGCCCGTTTATACCCTTTTTGGACTGTCTTCTGCTACAATTTAACCTAATAATCAACGCATCAACAAACAATGTTGTGATTTTTCATTTATGTTGTGCCCGCACTCATTTGTATTCACCCAGCACAGAGACAAACACACACACATAAGGCACACACTTATTCCGTGCCGTCTGCAAGGGTAGTAGCAAAACTTTTATTGAGTTTTATTAGGGGTTGTTTATTTACGTCGCCTTCTTAATTTGTTATCTGCGTACAATTGGCAACGTTGATTTGACAGTTGCCGTATTCCACATTTCGCTGCGCTGATGCTTAATAGATATTTTCAAGCTCGTGTTATGGTGATTCGAAAGCAAGTGTCGTAACTAATCAGGCGTAAAGAAATTGCTGTCAACGAGATTGTTTGAATCTCTGTTCTGTTGTTTTTCCTTTCTTTAGTCGCATAGTGAGTATGATCTGTAATGTAATGTCAAGTTTAAATAAATTTGTAAGTAAAATAAAGTGTTAATTATTGGGTCGTTCACTAAGTAATTTTTTTTTATTGTGTAACGTGAACGATCGTTGTAGACAAATTTAATCTTTCAGCAATCTTTCGAGTTGTTATTCGACAATTGGCATCGATTATTTTATCCACATCGGCTTTAAGAGGCCTTCCAGGACGTAGTGCATCCGCAGGATCGAAATTGCCGGAACGAAATTTTGCAAACCCATTTTCGCATTGGCGGTTCGGTCAAAAAACTTCTCCGTGCACATCCCATACGTTTTGCCTTGATTGAGCTATATTTTTACCCTTTTGATAGTAAAACAGTAAAATTGCCGAAATTTAAAAAAAATTTTACAAAGAAGCCTTACTATATCAGTTGTTCAAAACGGTAAAGCGGTTAAGTGTGAAGTTAGCTGCGAAAAAACTTAATAAGATCAAACAAAATTACCTAATAAACGACCCAATATATAAATAAAATTTAAATAAAATGTAATGTCGTAAGCAATTTTTTTTAATTTTAGATAAAACTGAAATTCAATTTGCAAATACACAAAAACAATTGATAAACCGCCTAATTTCAAGAAAGGTACTAAAGTCAAACTTTTAGGCTTATCGAAAAAGTATTTTTTCGAAAGGTGTCAATGCCGATAGAAGAAACGGATAAATAATTGTATATATATGTATGCGAGTTATTTCAAATGCAAAAACAATACAAATGAAGTCCCGCTAAAGTCTCATAACCTACACAAAACTGTAACATTGTAAACTGTTCGATTCTAATAATACCATTAATGCATGTTCGTAATTTTATTTATTTAGATTTTTACTTTTTCTAAAAGTTTATTTTTACAACTAAGCGTTCTTAAGTATAGAGTTACAATTAAATTTTTGGCTAAAAAATTTTAATTTTTGTTAAATGCGATGAATGTAAGAAAATTTAAAAAAATTGCGATAAAATATAACTTCTGTAATGTTGTGTGACCAAATTTCTACAAATGGACTCATCAATTGAGAAGTTTAAGTTTCTCGCAATTAAATTTATAAAATTTAAATTACAACTTACATATGTACAACATTAAAAGTATTTAATTTAAAATTGCATCTTGTAAGCACTTTGGAGTAATAAGTTTTAGTAGATAAACTATTTATAAACATTTGAAGTGGATACATACATACTTACATATACTCAATAAAAATGAGAGTAGGATTAATTACGCTTACGCTACCATTTACATAATTAATAGTCTACATAGCCGGTTCAGCAACTACCGCAATGGCGGTATTACCCATGGAGCTCCCTCCAAATCTCAAAGGAGTTGGTCAAATGATATTGGGCGGTGCTTGAGTGCCCGTGGACAGTGCCAGCGTGGGCGAAGATTTGGCTGATTTAATGCCACAACCGTATGATGAAGCGATGCTACCCGTACCGTTGCTGCTGGGCGGTGACGGCGGTGTCTCGGGGCTAATGAGCGGCGTGCAGCCAAAATATCGCCATGGATGATATAGGGTACCGGCGTACATGGCTTGAAGACGGGCCTGCAAGTCGAGTGCTATAGTCGGATCCAGAGGGTAGTGCGTTAGCGTTGTCGCTGTCGGAAAAGGGCCTGATAGATGTCGTGACGGCATATTCAAGGTCAATTCTAGAGGCGTTGCGCCAAAACCATACTTGGCCGCATTGACAATATGATGATGACTTGTGGGCGAATGCTGTTGATGATGGGCAACAACAGCTGCCGCTGCAGCCGCGGCCGATGGGCCAAGATGGGTATGCTGTGACTCCTTTTGTGAGCCATTCACTCCCGAGCCAGATACAGGCAATTTGTTGAGTGTCTTCGGCTTGCGACGCGGTCGATATTTATAGTCGGGGTGCTCTTTCATGTGCAACGCTCTGCAAGAGGAACAAGAAGGAATATGTATTAAAATTCGATACATGCGATTACCGGCGAATAGTTTGGGAAAACGGTTATTGGCGGCACTTTGATGTGGTTAGAAATTCTAAACATATAGACGCATATGTACATGAGCATAGAAATATTGTTCCATAAATTGTTGCAGTTGTAGGTGTAATAAAAGGGTTATACTAAATAAATTGAATGTTTTTATCAAAAAAATGCATTGGCTATGTCATTATTTCTAAGTATTAAAAATAATATTTATCACACTCCCACACAGTTAAATACCCACAGGTTTTATATACAAATTATACACATGCGATTGTACATATGTGCATGTGTGGTTGTTAATAAAAATCAAAAGTATTTCATTGTTGTGATGACCGACAATAAACAATCGTTGATTCGGCTATGTGAGCGCTTTATTCTCTCTTAATTCATTTGTCAATTGATAATAACACCAATTACAATTCAACAATTGCTGCCATTCTTGTCCGATAATTCCTTAATACCCACTCATTTGATATCACTTTTAAGTAACACTTAATCAATATGGGTATGTGTTAGAAAACATTATTCTACACACAAAGTGTAAGGAAGTGCTAAGTTCGGGTGTAATCGAAAATTTTATTCTCTCGCAAGGATCAAAGCCGGGGAAATACTTTCAATTGTTGGCAAACTTTTTATTTAGGAATGTTGCCAACGAATTCAACATTTATTATTCGATGAAAGGGTGCAATATTTCTGCAAAGTTTTATCCCAATATATTCGTTAATGCTTGATTTGTATAATGCAAATTAGAAGAATCATATGGAATTTTAAATTGTGTTATGTGGGAAGTACGCTTGGTTGTGATCCGATTTCACCAATTTTCGCACCGTAACATAGGAATGTCAGGATAATGTTAAGAACCGAATTGAATTGAAATTGGTCGATCAGGTCTTGAGGTATGGGATTTCACCAGAAGTTGAGTACACCCATTGTACAAATTTGATACCGCCTCCTATGAAACTCTTTCATACCGCCTTTTGTGTAAAATTTAATGTTTCTGGCGCCTTTACTTAGTGAGTTATTGCCCTTTTGGTAGTTTTCAACATAACCGTTATGTGGGTGGTGTTATTTTTGACTTCACTCATTTTCACACTGCCGTAGAAGATACCAAAAATATTTATCTTAAGCGAATCTGTTCGATTTAGCTTTAACGGTTTGAGAGATATATATATTAAACCCATAAGGGTGGGACGCCCAATCTTTTAAACTTTTTTAACCCTTAGGGGCTCTATCTCAATTATTTTTAGATGATACAATCAACCGTTAGGTGAACAAAACTATTATACTCTCTGTTGCAACATGTTGCGAGAGTATAAAAATAATAACGCATAAGATGGGTAAAATGGTGCGCACAACTCGACTTGGTTTAAGGCTACTGATCTAAAAACCGATGACAAGTTGATTAAATTGACTGTCATGGATTTATAATTTTCCATTAATTGTTCATTGATTTTCTTATCTAAGTGAACACAAGAGTTACCGAGTAATATTCACGCACTCAACCGACATGATGAAGACCGTTTTTTATACATTTGTGCACACAACACATACGAAATCATTTTACTCAAGGAAATCTTTGGCGTTTTGTTCTTTTCTCAAATTGATTTGCTTATCTGTTCACCGATAACACCTCGATAGGGTATCACGCTCGGTCACATTAAGCACAGAACACCTTTTCGTCTCACAATGGCAACAATGCCAGCACCAACAAGCAAACAATGTGTTTCCTTGTTTGCTAAAACATTTTTATATTATATTTACACTGTTTTTTACCGGTCCCGCCGGGTACGCATATAATCTCGTCTGAAAGAAACTCAGACTCAGGGAACGTCGTTGTTCTATCGGCAATGGTCGACATTTTGAGTTTGGATATTTGCTGCATTTGAGTTGGAGTACATTAATTTAGCTAGTATACATATGTCTTTGATTCGGTTGTCATGTACTTCAGTGGACTCCGGTTGCCTCAGACGGTGGGGGTGTGTAGAAATCAATGAGCGAGCATAATATAATATAAAACCGAAGCCATTAGATATTTGTGCACAATTTTGAATTGGAATAGCATAAGTTTTATTCAACCTGTGGCTTCTTACTTCTTAAAAATATGAATTAACTCTCCTCCGAATAGCAATACTGTTATTATTAGCATGGAAGAAGAACTAATGTTGTTGTGCTGATTCTCATTTGAGGTGTAATCTGCTTGACATATGAATTTCTTTATTGAATTATGAGAATTCCATTGTTACTCAAATCGTTCTCAAACCTTGGAGATTAGAGAATGAGACTAGTCAACTAAACATTCACTAATCAATAACTAACTTATGTGTTTGCTCCTAAAGAAATTTATTATTAAACGTATTAAATTTATTTTTCTTCTCATATATGTATTGATAAATTATACAATTCAAAATACTAATGATTTTGAAATTACTATATATTTCGTAATAACACATTATAATATTATAGTTTATTAAAACCATTTCCAACTCCATCTCCTCAGTAATTTGGTAGATCAGCCGGGTCTATTAACCTTTTTGACTTGACTTCATGTTACGTGCGGAATAAAAAGTTATGGATAATTTATAAACAATTAAGTTAGCTTAAAAAATTAGCTATATATAATAATCATTATCATTTCATTCGAAGTAAGAAAGTATAGAACTATTTTCCAGGTTTGGCCACCCTGTATGTTGTTTTATTTTAATAAAGTATTGCCAAATCCATTAGATCATCCTAAGAGGTATGAAACCAAAATGAAATGCAGTTTGATCTGCATTTAGGAATGTAGCTAATTTGTATTACTGAACAATTTTTTGAGAGCTGTCATTGTAGCTATTATATTCGATCAAAATTTAATTGTTTTCTCCTATGTGTAATGTTCAATTAACAACTGAAATACATCATTGCCGTGGCTGAAAAAGCGGACAATTAAGCATTTGACATATACTCTTAAACAGTTCGGGAAAACCCTAAATAAAAAGCTCGATCATGTACATATGTTTGCGCCATTTAGACAAATGACAAAGCCAAGCTACTGAATAAGGTATTCATACATCTGTTCAATTACACTCATTAATTAAAAAATTTTACTGATTGCTTTCTTTAGAATTGCTATGAATCAGTTTATTATACTTGCGCTATTACGGTATTTAAAAACTGATAGCGCAATTGCGACAATTTCTATTTTTTAATTTAATTAAATTTGCTGTCTAACAACACATCTATAATATGTCTACATATGGGAGCTCTTTCAAGAAGAATAGATAAATAATGAAAATTTTGTTAACACTACTTTATCATATGCAAACGAAACAAAATGAAATGATAAAGTCAAAAATTTGTGTCATCCATATTCACAAGTGATAGAAACTGTCTTTAAGGCGATTTTATTTACATATGTATGTATGTACATAAGTATGTAAATACATAGCTGATGGACGCTTCCGATAGTCCAACGAGTGGAACAGATACCCATATGTATATATAACGGGAATACCTGGATTCACGTCAACACTCTATGACAACTGACGATCGCGTACAAATATTATTAATAAGCAAAATATATATAATTAATTATAATATTGAAATTGTGGTAATGACAGTTGAAATGAGACAGTTGCGTCAGTTATACAGAGTTGTATGTACATATGTACGCATAGTACGCTTCAGGTTCCAACCATAAGAGAATTAAAGGGTCACTAGATAAGATCTGTAGGTAGTGTAGCTTGTAAGCTTTTTCAAATGGTACTATCTTTTTCGAAGTTTACTAAATCATTATGTATTAACGGAACTTGCCACCGCAGACAGTAAAGAACCCGCCAGTGGCGATAGATAAAGGACAAGATAGGATAGCGAAATTGAAGTGTTTGCACAAATTTAAGTTAAAACCCAACACATATTTTTGTTACTATTTTAAAAGTTTTCGTTACGCATATTATAGACTTGACACGTGTAGCAACAGTTCCCAATTGACATTCTTTTTGAGTGGTCAGATTAAAAACATCTAACTAAACTTTTTAACTAAATTTTTTAGACCAGATGAATACTACGTAATTTACTAGTCGTTTAGAAACGATATAACAATTTTCTTTTCCATAAACTCTATTATAACCTAATTATACAACTGCTAACTTAAAAACCTCATAGCTAAAGAACGTGTCAGAACCCCGTTTGAGACCTCTGTATCCATGTGCATATGTTCGCACAAAATACATATTTATATAATTCGAAAAGAATGACAGCTCTTAAAAAATATTCTGAAATATACGGAGAAGCCATGGATCATTTATCAAGGAGATGCTACTTTCGATTTTAAAAAACACTATTACCTTTTGTTTAGAAAGTTTGGTATCACTGGTTAGGATTTTTGGTAAAAAATAAACTTTGATACATTTGTATAAGTAGAACAAAAGTTCCTTTGAGAGAGAAAACCACAAATTGCTAATTAAATCAGTACATATGCATAGTGGCAAGGGGCAACAACAAAATATATAAAGAAGTTAAATATGTATATACAATAAAAACTCGAAGGTATAATACTCAGTTTGTAGTTATGTATGTGTGCACTAGTAAAATTGTATTGCTTTGTGGGAGGTAAGGAACAATAGCTGCCGTTGTTAATGCAAATTCCCTGTTAAACTGTTCAATCAGGGCATGAGTGTTCCCTTTTAAAATCGCAATTCGCATCGGCGCTTCATCAACATCGCCGTCGTCTACCCACATACGTGCCTCTAGATTTAGATATGCCAATACACATATAACTATACACATACACTTGTGAATAAGTGGCTTACCGTAAACGCTTTGCTTCATCGATGAATGGTCGCTTTTGTCCCTCGGTAAGTAATTTCCACTCGGCACCCAAACGTTTGGAAATCTCTGAATTGTGCATTTTTGGATTGTCCTGCGCCATTTTACGTCGCTGTCCGCGTGACCAGACCATAAATGCATTCATTGGCCGCTTAATATGGTCGTTCTGTTGCTGGTGATGATTGTGATGGTGCGACTGATGTGAGTGGGGGTGTTGTTGATTTGATTGTTGTTGTTGTTGCGAGGTGAACGCAGCATTGGCGGCTGATAATGAGGAGTTAGCAGCTGTACTTGTATGTTGTTGTTGGTGGTGCTGATGATGATGCTTGTGTGGCATCGTCGTTGCTGCAGTTGTAGCCGCCATCGTCATATTAAGCGCGTCCGATCCAGTTAGTTGTGGTGGCGACTCTCCACCACTACTAATTTCACTACTACTGCGACTGCTGCGACCGCCGCCGCCATTGTGCAAATGCGTCCGGTAATCTGTTGCTTGCTTTTGTTGCTGCTGCTGGAGAATTGTGGAAATACTCGTCATTTTTGATCCTTAACGTGACAGCCACTATAAAATTGGTATTAACTCTTTCTATTCATACAGTTTGTTTTGCAAATGGTTCGCAATTCTACAAGTTTTATAAGAATTTTGAGTTCTTCTTAAAAGATATTACGTACACCTGAAATATTAATATAAAATTTAAAATTTCTGTCAGTTACTTGCACTTTTTTTGAGGGATTAAAATGTAAAATTTGTATATAACAATCATTAATTTATAATACCCAGAAGAGGAAACGCACACGTCGGAGATCCTATTAAGTATATATTGTATATAAATGATCAGCGTTATGAGCTGAGTCATTTTAGCCATGTCCGTCTGTCTGTCCGTCTGTATATACGTGAACTAGTCTCTCAGCTTTTAAGATATCGGTCTAAAATTTTGCACACGTCCATTTCTCACCAAGAAACTGCTCATTTGTCGGCATCGCCGATATCGGACTACTATAGTCTATGGCTGTCATACAACCAAAATGATCAAAATCAAGTCCTTGTATGGAAACACTTTTCTATGTCAAGATATTTTCACGAAATTTAGCGAAGACTGGTATCCAAGGTTTTGCTACAATTTCCGAACAAATTGTTCAGATCGGACAACTTTCCACAAGACCACTATAGCTTATAGCTGCCATTCAAACTAACCGATCAAAATCAAAATAAAGATCTTCTTACCTTTTTATATGCTATAAAAAAATGCGCATTTGAAGGGTATTATATATTCGGTTCTGCCGAAGAAAACGTGTTTTCTAGTTATTTTATTTTTTTGTAATGCGTTTAAGAAAATATTTGTTTATGTGTATTTAGTAAAAAGCTTTTCAGTTGAGGGGAACTTTACAGAAATTAATTATTCTTAGAGAAATTGTCTTTTCATTTTACCAGTCAGGTTACGGGATTGGAAATCAATATAAATATTGATATATATTCAAAATTTTTACATTAGGACTTCAATGGTGACTTTTGTAGTGCCACTAATAATTCTTAATCTAATTGTTATAAAAATAAACTTATTTTCTTCTTATAATTTATTATCGAAATGTTACATAAGACGACTAATAGTCAGTGCTATTCTCAAATTAATAAACAAAAATACCCCACCTGTCTCATTTCGAATATGGTATTTAAGTACCAAAGGTTTCTTCCAAAAAGATGACTTTCTTATATGTGAAATTTACAACTTGGTTTTTGAAAAAAAAAATATTTATGAAACAAACTCGCAGAGTAATAAGGAACACGAATTTAAATTAAGAAATTTGAGCTTGGATTAATAGGAGCAATACCATAATGAATATAGAAATTATTTTTAATCAGTTTTATAACAGATACACATATGTATAAAAGATAGCCAACAATATATAAATCTAATATATAAAGTTTACGTGACACGAAACGGCTGGAGCGATTTTGATGAAATTAGGTGTGCTTATCGGGTAGGTCTGAGAATCGGCCAGCATCTCTATTTTATACCCCTAAATGTTAAGTGTGGTCCACCCCAAATATTATTATTATTTTTGTTTTTATTTTTACATGATCAAAATAAACACATTCTTATGGGCACAGCTATTGGCGGTGTCGACAAATTAAAACCATTTCTAATTTTGCCGACCATACTATATTACTAGCTATAAAATAGCTGTGATATATCATTTGCATTAACAAATGATAATTTAAAACAATTGAATCGATCCATTTAAATTCCATTCAAGTGAAAAGTTTCAAGACGGCAACAACGAAGTTGTGTATCACAGTTGTTTGATATGTCGCTGCCGTCTTCAAAATGTTCAAAATGCTGATTTCAAAACGACATTTGCAGACAAGAAAATTTCGTTGTCGTACAGTCGCCTTTGTATTTCATGCTTTGATTTTATTCTCATAGCGAATTTAATATTATTCCTTTGTGTTCACGAACGAAAAAGCTCTTGATAGTATTATAAATCCATCAAAAACTACGCTCATCGAATTTTTTTAATTGTGTAATCGTGCGAATGATTTTTGTGCCTTTGCACAAACACTCCTTTTCAAAAGTACCTCTATTTATATACCGCTATTTTACATGGAGTAAATCGAAAAAATGAATACCCTGCAAGCAAGGCACAACAGTTGATGAATGCACCGGTTTATTATTCAAAACAAATAGTTTTGGTCGTGTAGACACAGTCAATCCAGGGCAGATTTTTGCTTTTGCCAGCGACTATTGTTGGTTAATATCACCAGACCTTTAATATTTCATTTATATGTAAATGAAATAGACAACCGTATGCAACGTATAAAGATACATGCACTAAGCTTGACAATCTAAGATGACAATCAGTAGGGCAGTATGTTTGCTGAAACAGCATTATACTGTACAGGAACATAAATTCGTCTACTATTTGCTATGGTAATGACGACATGTTTCCCAGCCTAATCACAAAGGGTTTGGGATAATCACAAATGTGATCGATGACTGATGATATATTGTATCGACATCTTACAAGGTACAGTAATTAAACGATATCATTCAGTGACGCAATGTACAATGAAGCATTGATTGCTATTGAGGATCATTGTATAGTCATTGCGAATTGCGAAATGACTGATTGGTACATTTCGGTATGAGTTAACCAAATCGAAGTGCATCTGATTTAATCAACACAGGTATAAATCGTGAAATGAAGTGTCTGTCGAATTATTCCACTACTAAATGATGAACAAAAAAACAATTCACGACCGCATCATGCCGACAGTTTCGGTAGGGCATGGGGGACTTCTTTTTTTTTTTGATACACCAGATGGAACTGGTATTTCGCCATTTCTTCCCACTTCACTTTATTGGATGGAGGCAGAAACGGCGTCCATGGCAACAGTCTTAAAAAAAAATTAAAATCATCATTGAGGATGAATGCACCATGGCACATAAACATTCGCTTGAGGCATTGGATATGATAAGATATAAAGATATAAAAAACAACGAAAAACTATTTGGCGGCAATTTGTTAATCCTTTCAGGAGTTCCATGCTTTTCCAACAGCAACATTACGTGGCATGTTCTCGTGTGAGCAAACCATCCAGTTCTTTGTACTCCATTGCGTTGAGAGATTAATCTTTGTTTTATCTTTGAATTGAAATAATTAGTAGAAATATGAACTATTTTCGATGTGCATACTCGTATACATAGGTATCAATAATTGGAATTCAATAAGTATAAGATAAGTATATTTCATCTTCATTCCTCTTTCAATTATAATTACATCCCCCACACACGTCGAGTGTTAGTTATTTTTAAAAATATTAGGTCAAGTAAAAGGTTCGTTCGGTTTTTTATGGATTTTTCAAAAGATTATAACTTTGTGTACATTTGTCCGATTTAATTCAAATATACACCGTTTTGTTCATAAACTTATTGCCAACGAGATGCCGACTTCATTATACCCCTCTCGTAGAAGGCTACATCCCTATAGCCAAAAAACTTGGAGAGCCAATTTTCACAGGCCTCTCTTGAGGCCAACTTCTCACCATTAAGCGCGTTCGCCATGGACAGGAAAAGGTGGTAATCACTTGGTTCCAGGTCCGGAATATAATATGGGTGCATTACGACCTCCCATCCCGACAGGCTTATCGGGCTCATAAACTAAATTAATTTTTTCAGCCGCTTTGGTTGCTTTTTCGCCTTGATCGAAGAAGAATTGTAAAATATGGCGAATTTTCTCTTTGTTGGTGTCCATCTTTGACGAGCGCTCACAACGTACTGAGTCAATCAATCGAAAAACTGTCAAAGAAAACCTTTTAGCGCGATTAAACACGTTTTCAGCGCCGTATAGTATGACATGATGCGACACGTAACACTAGTACTATGGACAAAAACGCCATCTCTTGGATACAAACTGAACGAACTTTTTACTTGACAGTCAGGGTCAGGGTCAGTTATTTATATATATATATATATATATGTATTTCAACTAATTCATTTATTTTAAACATTACGTTTTGAGCTTTCATTATTTTTGTGTTAAATGTAATTTTTAATACAACAATGCACGCATTCTAGAGAAAGACGTTCTAATTTTTTTTTTTAAATTTTAATGCTGGGTAATCCATATACATTATATTTCAAATTCGTTTCTACCAAATAACTTAACTCACATAAGCTCAAGTTCTTTGAAGGAACTGGAGATTTCGCTCTCCAGTAATAAGCCCAAATTATTATAGGAATTATCAATACATATTTAAACTAAAAAACATTGGTAATATTGCTTACGAAATATTATTTGAGATCTTCTCACCTTATTAAATTTGAAATCCTGTAAAGGAAAAGAGATTACTTGCGGAAGATATGTTTTAATATTGCACTTTTATATTAAATATTCCCATATATTTATCAATAAATTTTCAAAATTCACAGCTTACGGAATAGTCTCTTTTAATTTAGTAAGAACAAAAATTGCACTTTATTGTTGTTATTGGTATTGATTTTTATGCATAATTTACAAATTAGCGTTTCGAAACAATACAAAACGGACGAGTTTGGCGTAAAAAGTTTTAAACGGCTATCTTATTACATCCGATCACGTTGCGCGTCAATTGACAAGTGTTTTTAGATAATACAAATGGCGGGCATTATTGCACACACCTTTCCATGTACACAGTCACTCGCAAACTCACACATGTATGTATTACGAATACGATTTTCCGAAAGGTATTCAATCACAGCTCGCAACAGTCAATCGTTTTATTATTAATATTTCAAATTCGCGACCATGCGCTGCAGTAATGCGTAGCCCGCCAGTGAAAGGCACGAAATGAGCGACAAAATGGGAAAAAGTGAAAAATGTGGCCCGGTCGACTGCAGAAAAAACAACAGACGAATAGAACGTTATCAACAACCAACGTTAGTGGAATAATACAGAGCAGAAGAACGCTCAACCATTCACTAAAGGGAGCATGAACACTCAGTACCCACAACCACCCAACAAACTCAAACCGCAATAAAACAAAAACAAACCATACAAATGTTGGTAAAAGGAGCGCAAATCTCCTTCGAACTTCTGTTGTGGTGTGTGTTGGGTGCTAATGTGGGTGGCTTAGGGTGCGATTGGTGGGCAGATAGGCTGTGTAGAGTTGGAGAAATTGTGCCCGTGTATGTGTTT